AAAAAAATGAGTTCACAGTTATTTGGAAATTTTTTTGAACAATAAATCATTAATTTATGTTTTTTTCTATAAATAATTAATAAAAGACGACAATTTTAAGTATAACTATTACGAGACTCGTTAAAAAATAGTTAAGAAATTAAATTAAACATTATTGGACAAAAAAATGTTAAGAATTCAAAATGAGTTATTAAATTAAAGATAGTATTAACGTAGCGCATAAATAGTTTGTATTCAATTTTGTACTTGTTTTATATATATATATATATATATATATATATATATATATATATATATATATATACTTATTTATTTTATAAAAAAAGTTGTTTCATTTAACTAGCAAAATTTAATTTAAAGAAATTAAGTGCATCATGTAATTTGATTTTAATGAAATATTTATTAAAGAAATACATTTTATTTAATTTAAATAAATTACAAATAAACAGTAGTTGTAGATATTCCAAGAATTTGTTCGTTTATTTTTTAAAAAATAGTTTTAAATTTTGTACTAGTTAAAAATTTCAAAAATTGGTTATAATTATTTTATTATTTTAAAAAAATATGTTTATTTTTTTAGTTTTTCTCATACAAATTATTTTATGATTTAGTATTTTATTATTAATGTTTACATTCATAATTGCATTAAATTATCTATTTTATTATTACAAATATTTTCAACTTTTTTTTGGTTTATATTTCTTTTAAAATAGGTTTTTAAAATAAAATTATTAAATATTTTTTAATCTATTTAAAAAATCAATTATTTTAATTTAATTTATCATTGGTTTCCATCCCTAATTTTTGGGTCCCCTTCACCAATTAAAAACCCTAAATATATAGAGTTGAATGTATTTTTAAATAATCCCACTTTTTAAATTTTAGTTTAATCATGATTTTAAATTTAACATACTAACTCTCAAGTCCACCATAAATATTTTAATGGAATAATAAAGCAAAATAAGTAATTAATTTCCTGAAAAATATCTGCTAGAAGTTGTTTATTAAAATGATATTGTTTGAGATAATTTTTACCGAAGATAAATTGTTTAAATTTGTTTCTAAGTAATTTTATTAAGTAATTTATAAAATTATAAAATAAAAATAAGTATAGAAAGATAGTGGTTTAAAGTTTCTCAAATTTTATTTTATTAAAATGAAATTAAAATCAAAATTACAGATATTTAACAATGATATACCAAAAAATACGTTTTATATTTGATAATATTGAAAACTCGTTTAATTAAAAGATAAAATAAGTTAAGTTTGATTACTCTCTTATATAAAAAATATAAAATAGATTGGTGATTTTACTTGATAACCAATTTAATCCATTTTATCTGGTTTGTTAATTTGATGAGTTGATTTGCTTTAAAAATAAATTTATATTTTAAAATTAAAATAAGAAAATTATAATTAAAAATATTATATTTTTTATATATTATTAAAATATTAAATATATAATAATATTATAATTTAAATTATAAAAAATAATAAATTATATTTAAATTATTTATTATAATTAGTTATTATAATATATAAATATAATACAATTTTTTAAATTTTCTGATAAAAAATATTAATTAAAAAATAAAAACTTACAAAATATTTATATAATTAAAAATATATTTTAAAAAATACATATAAAAAATAATTGATGGAATGAGTATTGATTAGTTAATCGCATATTAGATCCTGTCGTCTATATGGATTATGGTAGACCAGTTCTCTATTTTTAAGGAACTTTAACCAACACAGAGAGTTTTGCGATCTTCACTGGTACATTTGATCTCATATAGTATTGACAGTATTACGGTGAATTATGAGTTTTCTATGAAAAGAATTACAAAGTTTGACCTTAAAAAAAGAAAAAACTAGAAAGTCATAAATATTCTGGCATGTAGCATGTGACCAAAATGGTGGGCTAGTATGATTGATAGTGCGGGACAAAGTTCCAACTTTTTGGAGTAAAATGGCAACGAATGAGAAACGTGCAATGATGTGGATGGGAAAAATGAATTGATTAGATATAGTAGTGGACATGACTGCTACTTGTTCTATTATATTATCATTCTCATTCCACTCTAATCCTCTCCTCACAGTAGAAAAAAGAAGAATTAGGGTTAAGGAATATTCATGCCAAAAATACCATAACCGAAGTCAACTGCAACTGTGCCAAGTACTCTACTACGTATATATAATTCGATGCAAATTACTCACAACCACCAAGTTTAAGTGGCTGCAGCATCTTCAAAAACCCTACTATTTGATATTCATTGTTAATGTCTTCCCTGACATGCCATTTTCTCAACAACAGTTTCCTGATTTAATTACATAAACTCAATTTCACTTTTCATATATCACTCATGATTTTAGTCTTGTGATTTTGATTCAATCTTAGTCTTAAAAGCAAAAGCTTGAATATTTTAGGGCTAACACCAGAAGATATATTTAAACAAGATCACGAGTAATAATTTATACCAGACAGAACACAAAATCTGTCATCACTTTCACAGAGCTGTGTCCACCGGCACTTCTTCTCTGAAATGTAGTGTAATGAACCAGCTGTGTGCATTGATGGTGGTTTCTCCAACACTTAGATGCCAAATGAAATGAAACAATTGAAAGTGGCAAGAAACAAAACACTCCACCATGATTATTTTTTTGGTTTCAAATATGTCCCGGTGCAGTGCCGGATTTTGATCTTGACGTTAAATAATATATTATTAATAAATAATAAATAAATATAAAAAGAATAAACAACATGAAAAAGGAAAAAAATAAAAGTATAAATATATATTTAAATATATTAAATAATTATTAAATTTGAGGGAAACAAAACCATAAATTACATGAGAATTACAAAATTAAGGGGATGTAAGGATAAAATTGTAAATTTACAAGTAAATATATTAAATATTCATTATGTTTGGAGGATCAAAATCATAAATTACAAAATCATAAATTACACAAGAGTTACAATAATTGAGGGTACCATGAACTTCCCACGAATATCTACCACTGACCTTGTGTACCTTTATAAGTCACTTCTTGACCAGATGCATTTGTTGTCATTTGTGATCCAAAGGTTGCACATAAATATCTATTCGATCTTATTTAAGATTTGAAATCTCACCTTTTAAGAGGACGATATTTCTTTATGTGGACATATTTTCACTCACACTTAATTAATTACATGATTTTTTTAGAAGATAGTAATGATATAAAAAAAATATATGATTAATGGACCAAGTACATAAAGTTGTTGTGAGAATATGACAGAAAAAAAAAATCATAAAAATGTTTTAGACAATCTTAATGATCGAAAGTTTAACCCAATAAACCATTACAGTGTTTTCTAGGCGTTCGATCAAGTAAAAAACTAAAAAACATCATGCAAGTCTACAACTAGCTAAGTAGTAGTCATCTACATTTTAGAAATCAATGATTAAGACACGGTATAAGATATATTTAGATGTTTAAATAAGTTTATCTAATTTTTTTTATAAATTAATATTAGCTTATGTATCAATTAAAAATAAAAAATAGATAAAATATTTGTTATAAATCAGTTTATGTATAAATTAATTTTCAGTTTTTAGAATTTCATTATTTTTTCTTAAAAATATTTATGAAAAAAAAAATCGAAACGAATTCTTAGTAACGTAAAACAACGAGTCATGATTTAATAAAAAACACAAAAATATTTAATAATAGACTGATTTATTTTTGCTTATTTTGTAATAAGTGTTTATTCAATAAAATAATTTTTTTTCTTTTCTTTCTGATCTGCTTATTTTAAAAGCAAGTATTTTTTTTTACTTTAATAAGTAAATCTTATGTGTTTCTTAAATAAGTTATTAGTTAAAAAAACTTATTTAAAGTTAAAAAACATTTATGCAGATTTTTTTTCTTTTTTATATTGCCTAATAGGATGTTTTTTCTGTTTTCTATTTATTTATTGATCCAGGAGTATTTTTTTCTCTTTACGGGTCCAAATAGGAGGGTAAATGTTGTATATTAATTTTCTAAGGCACACAACAAAGTGAATTGAAGGCTTGAATATCTCATATCCAATTATAAAACAAATATAAAGGTAATAATAGGGTTTTGGTTTTGAGCTTGTATATCTCTTACCGTTGTTTCTTGAAGTCTTTAAGAATTAGAGATTTGAGAAAAAAAAGAAAAAAAAATCTTCAACTCACCTTTAACTAGATATTTAATCCAAATACATATAAAGTAACAAGATAATATTGATTCATTTTACAAAATAATATAATGCAAGTAATTTGACACTAAAAAAACGAATAAAACATAATTAAAAAAATAACATAATAACAAATAGTTAATTTTTTTTTTATCTGTAATTAAATAACATATAAAAAGTCTCTATCACCAATAAGCAAAATTTGTAAAATAAGAACCATTTGAAGCACGAGTGGAAATAAACTCATTCTCAACATTATCATTCATATAAATGCTCAGAAATTAATGTTTTATTTCCTATAAAATAAAACCAATCAACGTGTTGTTTATCTTCAACATAACAAAAGCAATAAAATGAAAATTAAAAACCGATGGGCCGAAATATCTAGCAACCGAAAGCGGGGGCCCAATTAACCATTTTGGGCTCGACGGCAAGAAGTAGCCCGTAAGCACTTTAACTTGTGAGAGCTTGCTGCTTGCTTAGGTCACAGTGCAGAGAGACGGAGAGAGAATTCTTTGCCAACATATTTCCGCCGTCGCTGCATCGTTTCCACGTGGTTGCCGAAGTTGTGGAATATACGCAGATCTTGACACTGTAATTTCCCTTTTTCTTATTCTTCTTCGTCTTTTATTTGCTTATGTAGACTCTCTAACCTCACATACTCGCATGATTGAATAATTTCACAGGATATGTTATCAACACTTATTTATAGATACATGCTTATGTTATTGTTAAATAGCGTCGAACTGATGTAGAATAGTGCTGTCATTGTTTTGGACTTGTGTCAGTTCCAATGGCGTCTTCTAAGAGGCCAAATGCAGAGCCGAATGGGAAAGGGAAACGCCACAAATCTTCCGGAGGTTTTTCGACGTTGGATGTTTCTCCGGGGAGTGCCGTGTTTCGTTTGCTCTGTCCCGTTTCAAGAATCGGCAGTGTTATTGGCAAAGGCGGTGCCATCATTTCACAAATTCGACTAGAAACTGGTGTGAAGGTTAAGATTGAGGAAGCTATACCTGGGTGTGATGAAAGGGTTATCACTATCTCAGGTTCTGATAAAGAGGCTGAAGAAGATCCTGCTGAGCAGGGAAAGGAGGTTAACAATGATGATACTGGAATCGTTGGGAAGGAGGATGAGGAGGAGAAGGAAGGTGATGTTGATGAAAAAGAAGAGAAAGAAGATAAAAATTCTGTTCCCGCTGAAGATTCTCATAGTGAGAAGGGGAATTCGGCTATTCGGAAGGCTATATCACTAGTTTTTGAGAGAATGGTTGAGGGAGTGGAGGAGACAAGCGAAGAGGATGAAGAAAGTAATAAATCTTCTTCCCTTGTTTTTAGGTTACTTATTCTTACTACTCAAGTTGGATGCCTTTTAGGAAAGGGTGGTAGTGTGATTAAGAGAATGGCAGCCGAGAGTGGGGCACATATTCGGATCCTTCCTAAAGACAAACTTCCAGTCTGTGCATCAGCTTCTGATGAGATAGTTCAGGTAAATGTCTGTCACACTGATCCGAAAAGGGGATAACGGGTGTCCATTATCCCTTTTTGGTTCAATGTTATTTAATTAACTTGCTGAGAGTTTTATTTAATTAAATTAACCATTGGGTGATATACTTTGAAGTAGCAAATATCTGGCTGGAATGTTTGCTCTGTCAAATATTATTTAATTAACTTTCTGAACTCTGAAGTTAATATGATTGATACTTGCATGTATGCATTTTGAGTAACGCATAATTTGACGCTGGAGTGCAGAAAAGGGGTTCTATAGCTGCCATTTTGGTGGTTATTTGTTATTATTACTCATTTCAAGACCTGTTCATGCTTGTTACCTTGTTTCAACATTAGTTTTATATGTATGGTATGATGTAGATCTCAGGAGGAGTAGAAGTTGTTAGGAAAGCTCTTCAATCAGTTTCTCATCAGCTATTGGAAAACCCGCCACGGGATCATGAATTGTCCGCAAATTTTAATGGGCCATCTCATTCATCTGGGCAATTCCCATCACACAGCCGATCCTTTGGTGGTCAAGGAGTACCTTTTGCTGCCGGGCATGATATTTCTGTTTTTCATTCTGCCCCTCAATTGATTTCCAAGTTTCATGAAGCTGCCATTCACGGTCGTACAAGGCCTCTACAGGAAATGCTTACTTTTCGTTTATTGTGTCCTGCGGAAAGAGTAGGAAATGTAATTGGTAAAGGTGGATCAATCATAAAGACACTGCAGCAAGAGACAGCAAGTGAAATCAAGATTGTAGAAAGCCCCCCAGATTCAGAGGACTGTGTTATTATTGTATCTGGTCCAGCGGTATGGTTCAAGTTTTTCATTGTCTCATCTGAGCTATTGTTATGGAGCCATGCTTGTTTTTCACCTAAGTTAGATTGATATTTGCAGCACCCAGACGATAGAGTATCCCCTGTGCAAGAGGCTGTATTTCGTGTGCAAACTAGAATAGCCAAGCCTATACCTGATTCTAAAGAGCATACTATGTTAGCAAGGTTTCTTGTTTCTTCCAATCAAATAGGTTGCCTCCTCGGCAAGGGTGGTTCCATCATAACTGAAATGAGGAAGAAATCAGGGGCCCATATCCGCATATTAGGAAAGGATAAGGTTCCAAAATGTGCTTCAGAAGATGAAGAAGTAATTCAGGTGCAATTTTTACCAAGTTTGATTATTGTGTATAGTGCTTCCAGTTATTTCATATGGTTATTGTTGACATAATAATGCTGATATATTATATCTCGTAATTATTTAAAATAACATTAAAATTCTACTCTTTGGATTCATAAATTTGTAACAGAATATGTACAATAATTTAATTGGGAAAACTACTGGGAAATAGGTCATATTGTGAACTCTTGTTTTTCAAAATGAGAAGTCAGATTAACTTGTCGATTGCATGGTACTGACATTAATTTCATTAATCGGCACTGCACATATGCTTGGTGATTGGTGTTTATTAGTTCAAACATTTTTTTACCTTCAGCTGTCATTTAATGTTTTTTCTGTATATTTTTTGACAGGTAAATGGAGAAATTGAGGCAGTGCATGACGCCCTTATGCAAATAACCACTAGATTAAAACATCATTTTTTTCGTGATTCCCATCCATCTGTCAATTATCCTTCAAATTCTCCATTTGTGGATCAACTTCCTCCATTCCCACCTTATTTAGGAAGGCGGGGACTGTCACCACCTGGGTTGTATTCTGACCTAGGCCCTCCACTTCCCCATGCGGGTTTTCCTCTTGATGATCGCCCTCCCTTTTTGACTAATATACATAGACCAGGCATTCCTCCTCACATATCTGAAAGGAAACCTTGGGGTCCTCAGGTATTTGACACGTCTAACTCTGTTGGTACCAATCTTGGCTTAAACATTGCCTTTGCAGCTTATCCGAATGTCATTTAAATTACCATCAAACACTAGGGTAGTTGTTAAAGTTAGTGTTGTTAAAATTAAAATTGAAATGGATGAGGGAGGAAAGAGTGATCTTAAAGGTTTGGTTGGCGTCAAAATGAACGTTTATGACTTTATGTAATAGTAATATATTTGATAAATCATAATTTTTTTTCAAGTGTAGGTATGCATTACCTTTTAATTACGAACTGTTTAAAGGTGCTTATTTTATAAAATATTTTCTTTCAATTGCATCTGGCATGATTTCTAAAGAGATACAAACAAAATTACATAATTTCTTTTATGGTTTCAGAAATTATAATTAATCTTAAATCTATTTATGTAAATATGCAACACAAGAAGTTGCAATATAGATCAATCCGTGGCAGAATTTTTCTTTTTAATTCCTGGGGCATTGGGCAGGCTTCAGCCAGAGGCTGATATAATCTTTGTTCCGATAACTATTAGTCAACAGAAGAGTAGAGAGGACTGGACTTTCGACCAGTATTCCATTATCCATGCCATATTAGCCTGTCTGTTTCTCCCAAGTGCAAAATTTTAGAAGGAATGACATGCCAATCTTTAGTTTTGATTTCTGAGAATCCATAGGTTTTTAAGGGAGCTCTCTTTATGCACTCATATGCCTACCTGTGTTGGACATCTGATTTCTAGGGGGTACTTGAAGGTGGTTCACGCATTGGCTTGCCAGACTTTCCAGGAGGTCCTCCTAGAAGAATTTCAGGATTTGCAGGGTGTGTCAAGTCTATCAAATTACACTGTTAATAATTTTGTTCTCTTCATTATTTTGTTTTTTTAATTTTCCAATTATCGATTTCTGAGGTTATTTTTCCCTTGCAGGGGGAGCCAACCAATTATCACAAGTACCACTGTTGAAGTTGTTGTTCCTCGAGCACTGGTGCCTGTAATATATGGAGAAGATGGTGAATGCCTGAAACAAATACTACAGGTGAACCCTCTGCATCTGATAATCATCGATGTTAATTTTGTTTTATCTGGCGGGTAGACCTATTTTGTTGTTGTATCTGGCTGTTAGATGATTTTAGTGCTTTACAATTTAAGTAGTTGCCTGCGCCACACTTGCATCCACACCTGCACCAACCTTTTGTATCATACGTTTTTGTTTACTAATTCGTAAGGGACATCTTTTAAAATTATAGATTAAAGACATAACTTAATATTTGGACCCATAAGTGTGCATTATGTAACCATGTAGCTTTAATCACTTTTTGGGATAAGACTTTTGCTGTTGTTATCATTTTGAACCGGGTGATTTTGTTAAGGTATTTTTTAGTCAATTAAGTCCATTTATTTTAAACTTAAGCGACCTTGGTCCTTTCGATGATTTACATTTTTAAAAGGCTGAATGCTTTGATTGTTTAATGCGAGAAATTGCACATTTTTCTGCCCGTTAGTCATTCAAGTTGAATAAGTGCACCGTAACCTCTCTGACCAATACAACTTGATAGCAGTACAAAAGAACAATGAAAATATTGTTATCCCCTTAATTTTAATTGGAACATAATTTGTTGGATGGTGGTATTATTGATGAAATCATTCTATAATTCTTCATGAATTTGACATTTATTATGTGATCGACACAGATCTCTGATGCAAATATTACTATAACTGATCCAAAGCCTGGAGCCGTGGAAACTAAAATTATAATATCTGGAACCCCAGAGCAAACTCATGCAGCCCAAAGTCTTATTCAGGCATTTGTCATGAGTGAGAGGGAGTCTGGTTGATCGCTCTCCTTGGGTAATACACTAATACGTTTGTTTCTCTAGTCTGGAAGTTGTAATTGAGCTTTTCTGCTTAATTTTCTTCCTGTTGCAATTTTTAGTAGGCATGTGCTATAAATTGTAAAATGTTATCCTATAGAAATACGACTATGCTCCACTTTGCCTTTATGTGACTTTTCCAAATATGAAGCTGCATGGTATGTCTGATAGATTTCATAATGTCCAAGATGTATGCCTTCTCAATCTCGGAAAACCTAGGTCAAGTGAATGAGCACTGTTTTGTAGAAGATAGCGATCACAGGGGTTTCAACGTCTATTGGTATCTTTAACTCAAGCAAATTGGTGTATGCTTTACTCCTCTTCTTCGACATGTAAGAATACTATTTGTCTGACTCTTCCCTGCATTTGTGCTTTTACTATTGGAGAATGCCAAAAGAAAGAAAGAAGATACAATCATTTACTCTGCACTAGAAAGAAAGATGATAATGGAAAGAGCATCCTTCGCGCTGTTGTATATACACTAGTGCAACTATTACCATGATCCTAAGAGGCTAAGGGTGTGATTGGTAGGAAAGAAATAAATAGGTAGGCAATGATATAGTCTGGGATTAGGGAAGAGAGTAATAGAATAAATGAAAATAGGTGAGAAATGTTGTTGAAATAGGGGTGTTTGGTTTTTTAGATAAACAGAGAAGATATAAGAAAGAGAAATTGATAAAATACAAGAGATTTGAAATTCTTTTATTTAAGAAGTAGCCGATTATATCTATTTCATAATTGATTATTATTCTCGTATAATCCTATGTTTCCCTCAACATTCCCCTCATTAACTTTTGTTGGTAATTGGTATGTTTCCCTCGTAATCAATTGTTTTTTATGCTTTTTCTCGTAATTGTTTACTTCTTCGAACTTTATTGGATAAATAAAGATGTGGGAGACAATTTTTTAAAGGTGACGAGTGTTTAAAATCTATCAGATAAAAAAATAATTCAAAATTAATAAAAGAAATAGTACACTGATCAAATCTAGTTTTTTATTTAATTGGGTTTAGATTTTAGATTTAGAAAATATTTAATCAAGATCGAACTAAACTATTTATCATACTAAAATATAATCTTATATGTTTATAATTAATTATGAATAAGTATAAATAATAATGTTTTTTAAATATTGTTTTATAATTAGTTTATAATTTATTAATAAATATTAGATGATTTGAAATTATAAATACAATAATAATCATATAAAAGTATTTCACAACATAACTTGCTAAATCTTAGCTATCTGATTTATGGGTTGTTTGCACGCCAAAAATTGGGAAAAAAGAAAAATAAGTTCATTTTTTTTTAATTTTAAAAAAGTAATTTAAACTAACAAAGTTTTTTAAGGAATTTAAAGTATATTAGGGTTTAGGATTTGAGTTTATAAAATAAATAAGTGTCTTGATTTTTTACGAACACTAAATATTTAAAAGATAAAAAATAACTTTGTAAAAGAGAAAAACTTAGTAATAATTCATTTAAAATAAATTTAAAGAAGATGGGCTGATGCTTGAACCCGTCTTGGGGTACTGTTGACAAGTGGGACGGGCTGAATTGCCATTCTAATCCATCATTTTGGCAATTGCTTCCTATATTTTCCTAATTTAAATATCTAAAATGTTTTTTTTATAATTTTATTTTTTACGTTAATTTTTTTTGATTGTTTACAACTTTTACATCTCCCTTTCTTTAGCACCTTTATCTTTTAACTATCATTTTTATTGTGGACATTTTCTAACAATTAAAGATAAGTAATCATTAATATTATATATAAATTATATGTTGTTACACTCAAATTATACAAACAGATTCAAATTACTCAATCTAAAATTGTGTCACGAAATAAGGTTAATTTTTGGAATACATTTTTTGATTGACTTTTGTAGAAACGCATTCTGTAACACCATTCTAAAATATTGTTATAGAGAGTGAGATGCATTTATAACAATTGATTCATGAAAGATGGTTCCAGAATGCATTTTCAAAAAATTAATTCTAGAAATATATTCCAAAAAATGCGTTCCGGAATATATTTTCAGAATTAATTTTCTAGAAATGTATTCCGGATTTGTGAGTCTGGAATGTATTTCTGGAAAACTAATTCCAAAAATATATTTTGGAACACACTTTTTAGAATATATTTCTGAAAAATCAATTAAAAAATATAATTCAAAAAATACGTTCTGAAATGCATTTTCAAAAAATTAATTCCGAAAATGTATTTTGGGAAGCTCTTTGTAGAACACGTTTTTCGAAAAAAAAATCACTTTTCTTACTCTTGCAAGGTATTTCCAGCCAAAAAATTTGTTGCAGGAATACTATGCATGTCAAAATTTGATATAAAATAAAATAAAAATTAAATATTCTTACCTATTTCTTGTAATTTTTGGGAGAACAGGAGAGGAAATAATTAAAATTTTATAATAAAACTTAAAATAAATCACTGAATAAAATAAAAACTAATGAAAGATGAAAATAAATGTAGGGTAATTGAGATTTAATTTAATTACAGGGATACATGGAGAAATGGAGAAATTATGGGGGAAGGAAGCAACAGCCCATCATTTTTAGTGTTTTGGGCCATTCAATTCTTTTTCCCCTCCTTACTCTCTCGCTACGAAATACTCAATTTTCTCCAAAAATAAATTGTTTTTAGAATTTGAAAGTTAAATTAATTTTCTCTCAAATATATCTTTATTTAATATCCATTACCAGTGGTGTGGGTATCAATGATCAAGGGATTAAATTAAGACATTTTAAAATTAAATATAACAACATTTTATTCATTAAATATCTCCTATTCTATGTAAAATCTAAACAGCTAAAGATAAGCGAGGAGGGAGAATTTCCTCTCTCCACCCTGCTTCACCATTTCTCATATACCAAACCATGATTCGATTTACTTAATTCTTATATCACAATTTTCTTTATCCCATCATGTTTTTTTTTACCATTTTTCGCGTACTAACCTAAGCATAAGTTACCACGTAACCTAAATGCACCGTACTAATGGAGTTTGTTAGATGACAGTCTGTGTGTTCTGATTTAGAATGTCTGAAGGTTAGATTGTTTTCCACTGACGTGTGAATCACGGTTAAAGATACTTGTTTATTGCAACTTCATCATTATTCTTGTGCCATTACAGGATTTCATGACCAGTTAGATAATATGAACCTCCTCATTATACAGGATTTGCACTGTGCTATTCAAACGCGTTTGATGTAGAGACAAACCTAGTGCATACTCCACTGAATCAGAGTGAGTATACATTATGCATGTACTGAAGACGACAACATTGAATGATACTGTAGACATACATGGAATTATTCTTGATATTTATATATACTTTCTTTCACAAGCACTTGATAAATTATCCATTAATTCACATAAACTTATTAAACTAGGTGACTTACAAAAGAAAGCAAACTTTGGACAAATAACTATTGTTGAGCTTTAAAGGGCTGGTATTTCTTAAGATCTTGAGCGAGGCCTTGAATGGAACCAGCTGCTGAAATAATCGAAACAATCAAGCACGCCCAGCTTAATATCTTGAGCCATGTCCATGTGAAGGAAAACTTCTGCATCTTTGACTGCTTGATGTACATCTCTATGGGGAAGTAAACGGTTAATGGCCAAAAGGAGAGTGAACCAATCAGTCCTAGGAAGTCATTGAAGAAGGGAAACATCATAGCTATCAAAGCAGTGATGATCACGTATGTTGTTCTCCACACCACCCTGAAAAAGTTCACACAGTAGGTTCCACACACTGGGAAATTCACTGCGTGCTCTTCATTAACAAATTGGCTGTTTGGCCACCTTTCCTTACTCCACTTCTCTACGAACCCAAATATGGGCTGACAGAAAACCTGACAAACAAAGCATAAAAAAACACCATTCATGAACAAAATACACGTATGCCATAGAACCATCTCACAAGTAGGACATAGGTTTGATTGTAGTTGTTTACCTGATATGCCCCAACCAAGTGCACTGCTATGCAGATGTTAGCAAAGTCTATCAGCCAAAAGGGCTCGTAGAAGCCGAACCCAGTGAGAAAATTTCCCGGTGCATTGTTTCCAAATGCTGCATAACCTAGGCAGCCACATAGCACATAAAACAAGGTTGTAGTCACGATGCCAATCAAGCTTGCTCTTCTCATGACCTTGTTCTCCGGAGGGCTTGATTTAAGGGTATCCTGCAAAGTAAGTGTCATCACGTGGCCTTAATGATCACATAGAAAACAAATAATAACAATAATAATAATAATAATAATGAATGCTGAGGAATTTTTTAGTGATGCACTTACTACAGGCAAGTGGCAAATGTTTTCAAAATAAATGCCAAGTTATCAACATCTGTACGAAGATAACATAATTTGACTCGGCATCTTTCCCATTATACAAGTAATGACTTTTTGCTAAAAAAAAATACATCCTTTATATATTTTGTGTTTTCCACTAAAAACATTTATTAAAAAAATTAAGGATCTCTAGTTTCGATTAGAATAGATTCTACCACTTTAATGAACCAGAAATGATTTTGATTTGACAAAAAAGTGTCAATATTATATGATATCTTGTTCCATTAACTCGTTAAGAGTTAATCCTAATATATATATATATATATATATATATATATATATATATATATATATATATATAATATTTATTATAATTTACTATATTTAAAATCTGTTTTAATTAATTGGTTTTAATTTGGATAAGCTCTGCGTGCTCCGCGTGAAGAAGTAGCAAAGAAAAGTGTTTTTAGTCAAAAAGATCTTTTATTCGTCCAAAATCACCATCGGGGCGACTTTGACATCTCTAAAGAAGTTGTAATAATAAATGTTTAAGAATAAAATTAAATATTTTATTCTTAAACATCAAGCAATGCTCTTAACCACCCCTGCCATATTTCCATGTTTTTCTTGAATTATGCTTGCATTCAATCATGCTTCCTAAG